GCAATTTCTGTTCACACTTTCAGCAGAAAAGTAGCTGCTGCTGCGATGAAGTTTTTACTTTCGCCATTGGTTTCAGGCAGCAGAAGGGTATGGCTGAAAGCGATGGTGATACGTCCATGACCACCACGCCCAGTGTGGTACGTCCTGGGTTGATGTCCAAGAAAGACCGTCCAAGGTTCAGTTTTAGCCAAGAGCTGTCGTATCCAAGAAATCAAAAACGCCAACAGCAAGCTTTGGCCAAATAATATCTTCCAGGCAGTAATCTACGGGCCTAGCGCCTGCTGCCTCGTCTTCCTCCTCTGCATCATGCATGGCCAGGTTTGGGGCGAAATGAATGCACGGGGCGTGAAGAAACAATCCAAAGGCAAACATTCTAAATTTGAACCGATCGTTTCCAAAGAAGCGCCGCGTGGCTACGAGAAACCCTACATGAAATCCCCAAACAAAAGTGGCCATTCGGTCGGGTATTCGATGGTGAATCGAACATACACTACCTCAATCCCCGCCGATCTCTGATATTCACCGCCATCACGATCGTCCATCCTCCACCTACAGTCAGAAATGTTCACGCAGCACTTCTTTTCACCGGGTGTGTGCGACCGACGCTTTCTTGACAACCCTGGACCGGTGACCAATCAGCGTGCGATGCCCTAGATAGGACATCTCCCTGACTGGTGAACAGGCAATCTGATAAAGATATTACTTTGCTATCTATTTCTGAGATTTAAGATTCATACCTGATGGGTGGAAGCAGACATCGTTGACAACTGGCCAGGGAGCGGAGTAACTTGGACGTTAAATGTTGTGGTCTCTCTGGAAGTCTGTGCCAGGGCCTGGTTTCGTGCAATGGTCTCCAGATGTCCAGTTAGCCATTGCGTTGCTGAACTCTGTTCGTCTTGAACTGCGGATACTTGCTCACGTGTAGCAGTCAGTTGTTGTTGTGTATCAGTCAGTTGTTGTTGTGTGGTGGTCTGGTTGTTGGTAATGGCAGTAAGCTGTTCCTGTAGTCTATCACTCCTTGCGGACAATGCAGTGATGGACGAAGCTTGCTGGGTTAGCTGTTCAGAGATAGAGTCCAGTCGCCGTACAACAGCTGGTGGTACGTTGGAAAGATGAGGCTGTAATGATCACACACAGTGCAGCAAAAACAGCCACACCACACACAACGTACCAACACAGCCACACCACACACAACGTACCAACACAGCCACACCACACACAACGTACCAACACAGCCACACCACACACAACGTACCAACACAGCCACACCACACACAACGTACCAACACAGCCACACCACACACAACGTACCAACACAGCCACGCCACACACAACGTACCAACATAGCCACAGCACACACAACGTGCCAACACAGCCACACCGCACACAACATACCAACACAGCCACAGCACACTCAACGTACCAACACAACCACAGCACACACAACGTACCAACACAGCCACAGCACACACAACGTACCAACACAGCCACAGCACACACAACGTACCACCACAGCCACACCACACACAACGTACCAACAGAGCCACAGCACACACAACGTACCAACACAGCCACAGCACACACAACGTACCAACATAACAAGACAACACACAGAGAAAACCTGTATAGTCATCCACATCGGGAAAGTATGATGTCACTCCAGCGTTTAGATGTGGACACACATGTACATGCATGAATAAACTACACTTGTGTGCACACACACGGACAAATACACAAAATGTACATGCACCCCCCCCCCCCCCCCCCACACACACACAGACCCCTCCCCCCCCCCCCACACAGACCCACACAGACCCCCCCCCCCCCACACACACCCCTCCCCCCCCCCCACACCCACCCACACAGACCCCCCCCCCCCACACCCACACACCCACAAGTACATACATGCACCCCCCCCCCCCCCACACACACACATACACACACACGTGCGCGTACATGAATAAACTACACTTGTGTGCACACACACGGACAAACACACAAAATGTACATGCACCCCCCCCCCCCCCCCACACACACACACAGACCCCCCCCCCCCCCCCCACCCACACACACCCACCCACAAGTACACATGCACCCCCCCCCCCCCCCCCCACACACACACATACACATACTAACACACATACACACACACACACACGTGCGCGTACACCCCCCCCCCCCCCCCCCCCGCCAATAGCATGTCTGTGTTTCGTGAGGATTGCAATGATCATGGACCTCGCAGTTGCAAGAAACAAGCCTTGTTTCTTTGTTAACTAACTAGTCTGTACTACGCTCTGCATTCGTGGCATTCAGTTATTCTCAGCATACTGGGTGCATCTTTCCGTTAGGCATTCCGTTACAAATTTGGGTCGATCAAATTTGTTGGACAACGTATTACCGATAAGCCAGAGTGTACGGATTATGTGTTGGGTTGGGAATTAATAATCAATCCCAAACTTGACAATCAAAATTATCTACATGGACAAAAACACAACACCATGTTGAAAAATACGACTTGACACTCACCGTAGACAACTCTTTGGCGAGACGTGCCACCTCCTTCACTTGCGTGTGCATCTCTGCAGCCGTTGGGCGATCAATGGCGGGGTTAGCGAGACAACGCTGAATTGACGCTTTGAGTGGATGTCCATTCCGCACTTGTTGTAAGGCCGAACGACGACGTTCCACTTCAGCAATCTCTTGTTCCTCGCTCGTTCCATCAGGGCGCTGAACCAGCCGTGAGCGAGGTGCGTCGAGCAGATCTCGTGAGGGATTAGCGCCGACTAAAACGCTCAGGGACAGCACACCAAAGGAAAATATGTCGAGAGACCGATCATACACGGCAGGCTCTTTCAAGACTTCCGGCGGCATGTACAGCATCGTGCCGGGGCAAGTGATCAGGTCTTCCAGCAAAAGAGCAAAACTCCTTTGCATCGCGCGGGCCACGCCAAGATCACATACCTTGGCGGTTTGGCCTTTGATGAGAATGTTTTTCAAGGTCAAGTCGCGATGAATAATAGGAGGTTTTCTGCTGTGTAAGTAGCGGACACCGGCTATTGCGTCGGACAGGAAACCCAACAGGGTGGCATCGTCAAGCCGGCCATCGCCAACACTACAATCCTGCAGAGTGGAATCCAGGAGCTCCATTGCCAGAGCTGGCAAGCCACGATCAGCGGTTACACCAACACCCAATATTTGGCAGAGATTGGGGTGGTGCAAACCGGAGAGGGTGGAAATTTCTCCACCAAACCGCCTTAGTTTCTCGCGCCTGCCCTGGATACCTGGCTCAACGAGGAGATGATGTAAGACCTTGGCAGCTAGGGGTATTCCTTGCCATTCTACTCGAAACACAGCGGCATCACCACCTGCGCCAGCCTGATTGTCCTCACTGATGGCGAAAACACCGAGATAGGCTATTTGACCTCTAGCCAATCCCAGGTCCCGTAGAAGCGAGTCTTCCGACGGTCGCTCCATAACTGACCCTAACTAACACTTGTAACGAGCACTTCCCCCACGCTAGACTCACTAGTCTGTACTGTAGACAATCCACCATTCACAGTGTTCTCTTTAGAAACTGACTCAACTCTGGTCTGTTTCTCCTCGACAAGGCCAGGTATGCTTACTTGCCCTTCATCAACAATAAATAACTGAATAACTGAATAATGATGATGTGGGCATACATGGAACATAGACGGATAATGCATACTGGTGTCATGAATCACGATGCAGAAAGCCAGCTGAAACATGTAAAATAATGGGACAAGCTCAAGACTACAGTGCGTTTTTTTATAATAGACTCTGAAAACCTTGAGAACGTACTCAAGGACACTTTTGAGAAAATGTCATGCGAGTTGCGTCACGAAAATCTGCGCGCGAAATTCGAAAAACCAGGTGCGACTCGTGGCATTTCGCCATCAGATTCTTGTTCAGAGTGTCCTTCGAGCTCCTTGCCTCGTGGCCGGAGGAATCATTTTGTTGCTGACTGCTCTGTGGCCCTATTTTGCTTTTTCTCGAGTGTCTTTTCGTTCGTGGCAACTTGTTCTCTCGACATGCCACATAAGTATGACAAAACGCGACCGGGCCATGGTACATGGTGGTGTCTGTTTTACAATTTTTTGCGAACACGAGGAGAACAATGGCTGGGCGTCGAATTGGTCGCAAGTATTCCATTCGTCATGCTGCTGTTGCGTGTGGCGTCAGCATTTCCACCATGAACAGATGTACCAGGGATGCTGACGGCGAAAATCAGCGTGCTGCGTTGGCCTTGTCTGTCTCCAGTGATGAAGGCAACGAGAGTGACAATCCCCGATGTGAGACTCGTGCCATGAAACCACTCAACCCTGACGGATTTGCTTTGGACTGTATAAGAAGTAATTTACGGATTCTATGCTGCGAAGGAGGACCCAACACTGGACAAAGTTCCTGCTCGCTGCAGAGAAACCATCGACGATTTTCCAGACATGAGCAAAACTAGCTCTTGGGAAAATGTTGCGTTCCATGGGATTCCAGTGTGGCAAGACCAGAGGTATCACACAAATAATGATGGAACAGCACAGGATTGTGTCATGGCGGCATCGCTACCTGTGAGACATACCTGGATGAGACGTGGGTCAATGCGCGTCACACAGTTACTAGGAGGTGGTACGACAATGGTGACAGGAGTGTATAGGCAAGCAACCAAATGAAGCACCATCAGGTAAAGGCAAGCGCGTTATTGTTCTGCATACTGGTGGACGGGACAGATTCGTGAAAAACTGCGCGGATGTGTTCGTGACTGGAGGCCGGCGCCAACGATGATATACGTCGTCGGTTGTCCGAGCACATCTGTTCACTGTGTAATACTGTCGTCACAAGTGCAACATAAAACACGGAATTATTGGGGCCGTTTCGTTCCTCGCTGGTCTTCTACTATTCGCAGATGTTGAACCAGACACAACTGTGACTTATTTGCATTGTGTGTGTGTGTTTGTGTGTTTGTAAAACTGCTCATGCTTCCTTTTTGTTAGTCTCTTTATGGGAGCTGTGTGAATTGCCTTTGTGATTTGTTGTGGTGCTTGAATTTTCACTGCATTCTTTCAGGGATCGAGGGAAGTTTCCTACATGCATGCTGGAATGTTTTGATTTATTGAGCTAATTGCAATACAGGATTTGAATTATTCAGTACAGTTTGCCACAATAAGTCGTGAAAAGCCACGGCTCACTGGTTTCCTACAACGGTTTAGAGAACTGCAGACAGCAGTGCACAACTGCACAGCCATGTGCATGTACATGTACATGCATGCGCTGTACTACAGTATACCGAAAAAGAAAAGAAAAAAAAGAATCAAGAACTGGATTCGAACTCATGCCGGGCACCATGCAAGTGATAAGCTTTCCTGGCTAAAACTTCCGTTTTGAAAATCAAAATCCACTGAAAACCATTTAAAACCGGATTTCTAGCCGAAACCCGGCCGAATATCTAACTTTGACAATTATTATTATTCCCACTCCCAAACTTAATTTTCTTCGATCCAAGATCCACACAAACGCAGCTGTGAAGAAAAAATTTCAAATTTGGAATGAGAACAAACTAAAAAATCAAAATCGACAATGGTCTGTTATAAAAAAACGCACTGTAGATGCCATGCTTGCACCATACATGTTCAGTACTACTAGCGATAATACACGGGAATCTGTACTCACCATTGCTTTGTCATGCACGGGCAATCATTACTGAGTAGCAGTCACTACTCGTAAAGCAGCTAGCTGTACTTGTGTAATCAAGACAGTATTGACAGATATCACCTCTTCAATGTATTGGTAGGAGTTGGCGATCGCGTGATGGCCCCAACAGCCACCCGCGATGTCGACAGTCACTGCTACTCGAAAGGATCGACATGTACGACGGACGGTTCGTAATCCAACACTTGCCCTTGCTTTCTGCGAGCTTTTTCGTCGCTCTATCTATCGTCTTACACAATAGCAGTTTGCCCAGCTGTCAACACTCAGGTATTCATAATGCATGTACTCAATCTGCGGACAGAACTGTGTTGTCCCTTGTGGACTCATCCGCGCAGCACAGAGAAAATGAGGCCTAACCTAATAGCAATGAATACATATTTATACAAATTTTCCAAAGCCAGATTTAAACCAGGCCCGAATGTACCTTGCCAGAGTGCTCAAGCTGACAAGTCAGTGAGCTCAGCATAAAGCAAACAGCAAAGGCACTACCCCACATAAGAGTGCACAACTGCTACAAGAGCAGGAGGTATATACTCAATCTGCGGACAGAACTGTTTCGTTCCTTGTGGACTCATCAGCGCAGCACAGAGATAATGAAGACGAACGTGATAGAAAAGAAAAATAAATTTACCAAAGCATACTGAACTGAAATCAAAACATATCAGTGGAAATATTCACAAGACTACAAGTACATAGTTTGGATGGCGGTTTGAACTACCGTCAGCTCCTGCTTTTTGGCAGGAGTAGCTGTTCCCTAGGACAATTTGGAGCCACGCATACTGGCAGTGATTAGATGAGAGGTCATAATGAAGCAGTTGAGTCAATATTCCAGAAGCGTCGTCGTACGCCGTCATGTAGAGTTGCGACTTTCAACGTCCGTTCACTAAAATCAAAAATCAAAAAACAAACTCTCGCCGAAGATTTCGAGGCCTACAAGCTCGACATCCTTGGGATTACGGAGACCTGGATAGCCGACAATGGAGTTGATACCCTCGGCGCAAGCTGTATAGGTCCGGTGGTCAATCGTCTCGCGCTGGCGTTGCCATCCTCGTCAAAAAGAAATTTTCCACTAATGTTCTGCCGTACCAGTTCCACTCTCTGACCCAGTTGTATCAGTGTCTGCTCCAGCGCCGGGTGAGCCGGGTAATCCACCCGGTTGGGCGGCGCTTGGACCCGGTTGAAAATATAGTTCCGGGTTACCTGTGACCCGGTTGGTACTTTACACTAGTCTTTCGAACTTCGAAAGAACTGACTACATGGCTTGTATGTATCAGATACTTCTTCATTTTTCGTAATTTTCTAATTCCTGTACTCTCTTTTCTAAATGCGGCTTATCCATTCGCCTTTATATCATTGGGCCTAGTTCCCGTTTATTGTCCGAATTAAAATAAACCAACCAACCAGTTAAAGCATGTGACGCGGCTGGTGAGACGGCGCCAGGTACATGTGTACCCGGCTCCGACCCGGTTGAAATGGTTGTGCCAGGTACACGTGTACCCGGCTGTCCTACAATCGTAGAGCAGACACTTTGTATCTGTACGAATGGTACTCAGCCCGCGACCTGACAGTCGAGCTGTCACGGTCGTGTGCTGCTCTGCCCCAACTCTTCAACGATCCACCATCAACCCTCAGGAAGCTGACAACTTCTACGAAATTCTCAACAATGTTGTATTGAAAACGAAGAACCGTGACGAATTATGGATATTAGGAGATTTGAATGCTAAAGTTGGGAGTTCGAGGCCAGGATCTGTCAGCCCTGTTGGATGCTACTCTAAACACACTATATCAAACTCAAATGGATGCAGACTTGTAGAATTTTGCGAGGACAACCGGCTGGTGCTAACCAACACACTGTTCAAGCACAGGATGCAACATCGCTCAACATGGTTTTCTGATGGTTTAGTGCATGCGGATGGAAAGCCTGTGCGGAATATGATAGATTACGTGATAGTAAAACGTTCCACCATGGCCGCGGTTCTAGATGCAAGATCGTTTGGAGGCTTCCCCACGCGCTCTGATCATCACCCTGTTATTGCAGTTCTTGGCATCGCACTTTCTAAAGTCCATCCGACCGTCAAACAACAAGACCCATGTTTCAATCGCTATAACCGTCCAACCGCTGAATCGTCGAAACTGTTCTGCGACCGTCTCAAGGAGAAGTTACCTTCTCGGCTTCCACGCTCCGCAAACATCGACAATGACTCCGTGGATAAGGCGTGGCGTGGATTCGTCTGGGCTACGCATGATGCAGCGCAGGATGCATTCGGGAAAGTGCCCACTGGTTCTGCTCCGAAAGCAAGCACGAACCCTCGCGTTGCATCCTTATCCACTGAACAGAAGAATCTGCACTGCCGCATAAACGCTGAACCTGATCCAGAGCAACGTAAAGCTTTAAAGATTGAAAGATCTGCAAAACTCCACGAGATTCGAAGGATACTACAGAAGGAGGGCGAGCAATATTGGCAACGTAAGGCTGTTGAAGTAGATGCTTTACGTCCTGACCCACGGTCCTACTTCAACGCCATCAACAACTTACGCCAACTACGCTCTGGGAAGAAGGCTGCGCCTGTGCGCCTTGCTGACGCAGACGGCAGAATCATTGCAGACATCTCATGGAATCTTAATGCCTTTAATGAATATTATGAATCGGTATTTTACACTGATGGCCAGCCACTCGACCTCAGGCAGCAATCGAATGAGGAAGATCCATTCACAATCGAAGAAGTACGGTCTGCAATTATCAAGCAGAAGTATGATGGTGCTGTCGGTCCTGATGGTATCAGTGCTGATGCTTTGAAGTCAGCTAATAACCTTTTCGCACCCTGGCTGACGAATTTCTTCAACGCTGTTCAAGCTACAGAGTACTGTCCTGACGACATGCGCTGCGGCCTCATCGTTCCC